GACATGGAGGGGAGCTTATCCCATAATTAAGTAACTAAACTATTATTAACTCATAAATAATATTGCTTTTAAGGGTGGTGATTGGTGAAATTGATCCGATAAGATAATTTTCATTCTAGGATTAATGGAATATTAATTTTCTTAGAGTCGCACTTTGCTTCTTGTAAAATTAAAAATGGCACTTTGTACCTTATAGTTTTCTGAAAATTGCACTTTGACACTTGTAAAATAAAGGGGCACTTTATCAATTAGTCCTATTAATTAGATTTATTTACCTATTGGTCCTGACTGATAAATTTATCACTGTAACTTTATTCATAAAAATAAGAAAGATTGATAAATTTATCAATAGAACTTAATGGGTAATAAATTTAAAAAATAAGACATATTGGTAATTTGCCCTAAAATAAAAGGTTGCACTATGCACTCTATCGTTTTGTTATGTTTCATCCTTAATTTTTTACAAAGGGTTAACTATAGTAAATCCCTTGAAATTATGACTCATTTAGATTTTATCCCTTTAAACTTTAAAACTCAACAATTAAATCACCTGAAAGTATTATCTGATTATACTTAACACATTTGGTTAGAAATCTATTAGGGAAACGGAATTAGGTTATGTGTGGATCACATAACACACTTGTTGACTTTTTATGACAATAATACACACTTATTGACTTTTTAGAATAATAACACCATATTTTAGTGGCAAAATACAAATAAGATCATCAGATAACATTATTGTTCTAAAAATTCATCAAGTATTATGTGTTTCACACATAATTTGATTTTATATAAATCCCTAACATAATACTAACAGAAAGGATTAAGTGTAATAATATAATATTTTGAGATGGTTAACTATTGAATTTTGAAGCTTAAGTGGCAAAGTGTAGATGAATAATAATTTAAGGGGATTTATTGTAATTTACCCTTTTAAAAATTAAGAAGGAATGTAATGAAAACTAAGGGTATAAAGTGTAATTTTAACAAAATTATAATATGCAAAGTATAACATTTTAGTTTATAAACTTCAAAGTGCAGCTTTTACAAAAGCATATCGTGCAAATTACAATTTTAATTTTACAAGGGGCAAAGTGTGATATTATCGAAACTAAAGGGTTAAAGTGTCAATCTTAGTATACATCATTCGTATTATTTAGACATAAATTTTCAAACAAAAATTAAATATTTAGACGTAAATTTTTAAACAAGAATGAATTATTCAAAAGTTATATCTGAGTTTGAACAATCATTTTTTATTCAGAAATTTATGTTTAAATATTTAATTTTTATTTAAAAATTTATATTTAAACAACATAAATAGCACATACTGATGTGTGAATACAAGTACTCGACGCAGGTATGCGTGTACGTAAATCTGGCCGTTGGTTTGGTTGACTGATAATGTTGGTGACGTATGCTTTTTATTTTTATTATTTCTTTAATTATTTATTTTCTATGAAATGAGTACACGTGCTTGGACCCACGAAGGACACTTTCATTACTGTAATTGCACCGTCCACCCTGGCCTTGATGTCATCTGTATTTATATTTAAAAAAATAATAAATCATAAATACATTCTTAAAATTTATTTAAAATATGAATTGTCTTTTATAATTTTAAAAATTACATTATTCTCTTTTAAGTTTTTAATTACATAATAAAAGATTATTTTTATTAAAAAATTATCAAATCAATTAATAATTTTTAATATTATCATAAATATTTTTTAATTAATAATTTAGATAATTTTATTATTGTATTGGAGAATAGTTATGAATTTCATGTTTTTCTATTAATTATGTTAAATAATTTTTTTTGAAAATGAAGGTATTCGTGATTTTCAAAACTATAGAAGGAAATTCATATTTTAAATAAATGTCAAGGGGTATTTATAATTTACCTTTAAAAAATTAATGTTTGATTAAAATAGTTAGTATTTAAAAATAGGTAAATTACACTTTACAACCCTATAATTTACATCTAATTTTACTTTGTTCTTGATCTTTTCATTATCGTAATCAATCTACTAAACTTTGAGTCAAGTAATAATTAGGCCCAATCTTATAATGACATTTCAAAAACTTACGAAAGAACTAAAGTGAGATTTTGGTAAAATTGTAGGGATCCTAAGGATCAAAGTAGAGAAGCTACTCTTTGGTAAAAATTTAGGGGTGCTAAGTGTATTAATACTTTTATTCCTAGTCCCTCCCAAATTTTTTTCTTTCTTTTTCTTCATATTCTTCTTTTGCCGCCACTTATATCGTTTGTTGCAATTCTTTTTCTTCTTTTTTTTTTTTTTGGTCTCCTCTTCATTTTCACTGCAAACCCTAGATATAAAAACCCTCGCGCGAAGATAAAAAAGGGAAATGAGAAAGGGAGTGGGTTCAAGGTAGCGGCCTACGAGAATAAGTTGAGGCAAGGACCGGAGAGAAAATGAGTGAGGGATGGTGATGGTGGGGTTGGCTTGAAGGCAAGCGACAAAGGTATGGGTCATTGGTGGTATCATCGGTGGGTGGAATGAAGGGTTGAAAAAGAGTTGAGGAGTGGCGACCGGCGCTGAAGAGGAGCTGGAGTAGTAAGGGTTGATGGAGAGGGGCAGACAGAGGTGCCTGAAGCTAGTGGAAGAGGTGATTGTAATTAGGGTTAGGGTTAGGGTTAGGGATGAAGTAAAATAAGAAAAATTATGTTAGGATAAAATGTTAATAAAAAAAATAAAAGGAGTGGGGTTCTAAGGAATAATATGGGGCTAATAGCAGCCCCTTTTGCAGTATTGGTTTTCATTTGGAAAGGAGCATTATTGTTTATACACTATGCAGGGATGACAAAAAGAGGGCATGACTTCAACAGCTCGAAGAAAGCACAGGAAAAGTAAACAAAATTCAGACCGCCACACCTTAATTATTATACACCTTGAAGTGTTATATTACAATCCCGTATAATACATATGTTAAACCTAATTAGTAATCTCACAACCCTTCGTCTCTCTTTATTTTGGTTTATTGACAATGGTTAACTGTTTTTTTTTTTTGGCAAAGATAGAACCTCATTCATAAGAAAGTAGATAATGGTTGTTTCAACAATAGTTTATTGACAATTTGATAGGTAAATATTTTTATGAGGAGGTTATCATGATGTCGCGTTGTTATAAACCGTAATTTTAAATCAAATCAAATTACAGCAGAATGGTTCAACCGGATTTAATTCCATAATTTTCATAGTTTGATTTGATTTTAAATCTTATAAAACTAATGGGAACAATTTCATACCTAGTTTATTTCTAAACCGAACCAAAAACTATTTTTACCATCATTCTAATTGGGTGAGGTGATTAAAGTCACTTTGCAATCCAACCAACGACTTCACCAAATACTTAAAAAAAAATCATAAAAAGTCAGTCCTCCTTGATCTGACTTTGGAAAGGGCATGCCTGGGTAGAAAACTAGTCGAATCCCACCTTCATTCGAATTGGGTGTAATTAAAAATCACTAGCAATCCTACCAAAAGACTTGACTTATACCAAAAGTAATATTCAAAAAAAAAAACAAGTCTATCAAAGACTCAACAGTCATAATCCACCTTCATCTGAATTGGAAGAGGGCAAGAGTAAGGAGAAAACTAGCCTTCATTCCAATTGGGTAATCTTAATTATTAAGGAGAGGATTACCCAGTTGTCTAACCCATAAATTTTGAACCAAAATATAAATGCAAGTAAAACAAGTAATTTAGATACAAGTACAAAAAGTAATTTTTGTTTAAAAAAATGATTTTGATTACACGGGTTTAAATAATCTTTGAGCTAAAATTAAAGTGGGTTTTATACGTCCTTTGAAGTGAATCCTCCTTATAACGTTTTTTACCTTTATATATAGATAAATAACCTATGTTTGTTTGCTTAAAACCATTAACAAGTAAATAAGGAATTGACTCTAAAGGTCATCTATTGTATATTGGTTGAAAAATTAAATCTAAGTTTTGTTCCACATTGATTATTTGTGAAACCAATGCGGTGTTTATAAACTCCTTCCTTGGACACGGGTTTGAATCCTAATGGAAAAGGGTGGACCTAACAAAATGGGCTCCAGCCATATACAAGCAGGCGTGGACCCTACTGCCCATGGGACCCAGTTGATTTGGGTTTTCAAAATCGAACCGAATTCATTCATATTTATATTTATTTGGACAAGCTATATAAATTATTGTATGAATATTTGTTTTTATAAAAGTTTGTTTGGTCATCATTTTTATATCAGTTCAAAAGGCTCAACGGATCGTAATGTTTCTTGTCTATGGAAGAGTACATTAGGCTGGCTTGTGAAATATTTGCTGAATTTGTTATTTTTAAAATTACAGGTAAGAAAAACCAATGGAACAAACCTGCCATTCAAAATTGACTAAAATATCAATTTCCAGCTGATTTTTATGTCGTACAGTCTGTTTCGATTTTAAAAATATTTACACCAAGACAAATTGAACCAACCGAAATATAATATTTAAATATTTTATATTTTAATTCTTAGAACATTGGAAGACAAGTGATCAATATAATACACCTTTTGTGACAAAAACAAGGGAGAGACATTTTTAAAGCAAACTTTCATACTTTTTTCATCTTTTCTCAATGTGAAAAGTTATAGAATTTCACATTGAGAAAAGATGAAAAAAGTATGAAAGTTTGCTTTAAAAATGCAGTGGTGCTAGGGACCCCCAGCACCCCCAGCAGGCCAAAAATAATTTTTTTTTCCTTTCTTTCCTATCACGCGGTGCCACGTGGCACTGGGGGTCGTTGGGGGTCACTCGGAGTGGGGGTCTCAAGCTTTATTCTTTTACAATAACCTTTAAAACTTCAGGTAAATCACTCTTTTTTACACCAAATTTGTCAGTAACATATGGTCTATGTCAGTTCCTTAACCATCAAAATCGAAAAGTTTGGTTCGATGCTAAACTTTCCCTCAATAATGACCGAACCAAACAGTTCTTAAAAACTACAGACAGATTGTTCTTGCAGCCCATGCATTGGCCGAAAATACATTAGGCAGGGCTAGATATTTCCCCAAAATTCAATTACTCCATAAATACCACATATTCGAGTCAAGGAACAGCTTCAAGTTTGCGCAACAGATGCTACAAGTAGGCACACAAGTTGTTTTGGCACAAGAATATGAGACAGATAATATAGAAAAAAAAAATCACATACATTGGGAGAGGGAGGCAAACAATCGGACATTGCTCAACACCAATTCTCTCACTTCAGACAAGAAGGAAGCAATGGCCCATGGCAAACAAAAGCCACAACAACATAAGCAATCACTAACAGAAGGATTATCAGTGCGATCCTGCAAAGACGCAGCACATTATATCAGCGACTATTCTAAACAAGGCGTATCTAGAAAATGATTTCATAAAAGATTCAAGAATAAATTTATGAGTTGAAAGAGCCAATCTTACTGAACAAAAAAGGCAAATATGTTAATTTGATGTTCCTGGAGAACTACTCACAAACATAAAAGCATGCAAAAATAAATGGTATATAACCTTATATTATGATTTATTTCAAGCTCAATCTATAATGGCTGCATTGAAATATAATTACATGAAGCTATGCACACCATTTTTACCTTGGAGTAAGGTTCGCATTCACATCTAACCTATTAGCTCAATAATGAATGAATCAGTGCCTTTTAATCCACTGTATACCAATTAACGCTTATCGGTGCATCACTGACACATATAAATCAGTGCCTTTTATCCCACTGTATACCAATTAATGCTTATCGGCGCATCACTGATACATATACTTTGTAAAGATCGTCCACCAGAGTCTTTCAGAACCAATGGTTTTAATGTTGAGTTGGGTTGGTAATATAATCCCCGACTGGATTGACATCTAATCCACAAAACAGTTGTGCTGCGGAATGTATATTGATAACATGTTCAGCAGCATAAAGCATAGTCAACCACATTCTTGCATCCATTATTGTAATCAATGACAGTAAAATTGTATAGCTAATACATATAAAAAATTGTTTCAACTAGTTAATTACACTTTGCAACTCAAGTTTACTCAACGTCAACAACATAATCTATAATTATGCACTAAACAGTCTACATTGAAAATATTGACCTGATTCCACTTTTATAATGACCAAATTTTACTTGTACACAAAATTCAGAAACTCTGTGTAATGTACAGATGGATAACACCATTGAGAATAAGTAAAAATTAGTTTGCAAAACACGATCCTAGGTCATGACTCAAAGAAGCTGAGTAGAAAAGGGTGCAGGATGGTTGACAGGAATGGCATGCGAAGAAGCACCAAGTAATGGCGGCATCAGGCTGAAAGATAGCTCAAAGCAATTCTCACTGCCTCTGTGTTACATTAGCACATCTATATAGCAATGCTTCAGAACAAAGAAACCCAGACAAAGATCAACCCAAAACAATAGTAATAATGACTAGAATATTTTGTAATTGAAAAAACAGAGAACCAGACACAACTAGTAGGCTAAATTCTCGATTATGATTGTGTCTTATGCTGGAGGATTTCAAATAGAACAACCATACACAAAACCTGAGATTCACCATATGTCCATTTTACTGAAAAAGTTTGAAGCTCTGAAAAATAAATTTCTTCTGAGATCCCCTATCTGTGCCACAAAGATTGTTTTCCATACATGATGGGAGACCATAATGGCAGCCAAGCAAATTAATTATGTCATTTGTTAACAATAAGGAACTCATTAGTTGTGGATGCCAATGTAAACCAAGCCATCAACTGAACCAGAATAACATTTCTCCTATTTCTTTTTCTTTTTTTCCATTAAAAAAAATACAGTTATTGAAGTAGATAAAAGGCTAGTGAGGTGGTTTTAGGTAAATATGGGATCAACCTCATTTAAATTGAAGGAACTTTTTTACCATTCAGAAGAATAAAGAACAAAAAACTTACCCAAAATATGAAAGTTTATGATTCTTGAAGATAACAGAATAGAATAATTTAACTAACAATTAGATTAACCTAGATTGATTGAATGTAGGAACCAAGCCTAGAACTAATTACAAATTTTGATTTAAAAGCTCATTATGTATACAGATGCCCAAGCATCAACCTGCCATCACTTCAAATATCAGGATAATTAAAAAGGTCACCTGTCTCTATTAACTATTAAGACAAAGGAACATAAATCATTAGGTTGTTATTCAAGTTGCTTAGGCAACCCTATGATTCGCTAGCTGTTTTAAATCCAACTGCATTTGTATTTGTGTTGCTAATCATGTTCTTAATTTTCTTTATTTATCCACTTATTTTCTTAGGCTCAACTTCAAATTGTCCTCACCATCCCCCCAAACAAGAAATCCTTATTTTATTTGCCATGGCAATAGATGGATTTTCCTTGTTCTGATTAACATATATTCCAACAAAACAACAATAGTCTCCACTGATAAGTAATATTCATCTAGTAGTGGATTAGAACTACCACCTTCCAAATAAAACTTCAAGAAGATAAAGATGCATCAAAACATATTCATCATGAATGCTTATATACTGAAAGAGGTCTTAGCTCAGAAAACGTACGTGAGCTTGACATTTCTCCACCATACGGTGCTTCTGAAACGGCGAGCCTGCTTTCTAAAACGGAAGGTATTTCCTTGCATATTGGATGTTTTATCAACCAACAACTCCAAGCGGTCACCTCTCTCTAAAACTTTATCAATGTTCTCTATCATGACATTGCGCACCTGTCCGATGAAACAATCACATTTGAAAGTTAATTGTCACAAAAAAGTAATGATCCAAGCAGAATCAGATGTGCTGTAAATTTTTGTATATTTTGTACAGAGGAACATAGTTGAAGGGAAAATGAGTTTTGACATACTACAAATTTGTTAACGTTGTTGACAAAAGTCAAGACTACAGATTATATTTACAAAATGGCCTAATGCATCGTTTTTCCATTCAAGCAAGAAATCTCATCCTCTTTGGTCAAACACAAGCAATTATAAATGGGCTGGTCAAATTGAAACCACTAAACAACCACAGAGGACAGTGCTCAAAAGCCACAAACCATGGAAGAGAAAAAAAGGGATAAACAATGGATGTTTGGATAGATAAGACTGATATTAACAGTTTTTATATATGTGCAATACACACACCCAAAAAAAAAATTAAAATAAATTAGAATTCAAAACGTACCTGACTCATTTCACCTTTTAACCGGTTTATCCTATCTGCATTTGGATCATTTGAGTAATATTCCATTTGTTGGCTCAAAACCCTTGAAAATTCATCATTCATGGCATAAGCATGGGCTGAAAGAACTACCCGACCATAAGTCCTCACAAATCTCTGATGGATGTCTTCGAGAAATGTAAAAGGAATTCTCCCTTCAGAAAGAATTCAGAATTTAGCAAAATACAAAACAGATATCCTTAGCTAGAAGCAGTTAAAAAAAGAAAAAAGAAAAAAGAAAAAAGAAAAAGAATAGTCTCAATCAAGACACATAGAAAAGATGTTTTTGATCCTTGTCATAATCATGATAATAATTAAACACATTTCACAATAGCTTGTAGAGTGTGAAAGAATCAGAACTGTTAGCCCCAAGGTTTCATAAAATGATTTTGATGATAACAAAATGAGTTAAATGGGGTACATATATTATTTTTTCATAGATCTCAAGCTTCTTAATTCATAATGTTTGTTATGGTACTTAAATCTTTGATATCTTATGTTGCCATTTAAAAATATCCAAGTATTTGATCCTATGAAACTAATTATCCTATGTTTAAAGATATTCTATTATTGTTGAACTTGTGTTGGATCAAGTTTCGAACATCTTGGAATGCCTTCTGTCAAGCTTTTATTGAGGTGGTTGCTACAGCTACCCATATTGAATGGTGCCGATACTATGAAAGATACAGAAGGATTTATTGCTTCTACCCGGAAGGTGTCGACACCAAAATTTGGTGGTGTCCACTTTGGTACACCATCTGCTGGAAGGTGTCGACACCAGAATCAATTGGTGTTGACTTAGTGCCGGCCTTTTCTCCCAGAAGGTGTCGCCTCAAAGGAGTTTGGTGTTGTCAACTCAATTTGAGTCGGTGTCGACACCAAAGATATTTTGAAATGAAAAATGCTTCAGAGCTCGAAATTTCCTTGGCTCTTTTATTGTGGAAATAGAGGGAGGGAGGAAGACAGTGAGAGAGACGGAAGAGAGAAGGAAGGGGGAACAGAGAGGAAGAGGGAAGAATCACCGGCGCCCGCCATCCTCTGTGTGTATACACATATCTGTATTGATGCTTTGTTTTTTCTTTTCTTTTTTTATTTTATTTTCTTTTCTTCTTTTTGGGTTGATTCGTTGTTGTTGATGCTGTTGCTCTGTTGATTCATTGTTGTTGATGATGTTGCTTTGTATTTTCTTTTCTTTTCTTTTCTTTTTTTTTGGGTTGATTTTTTTTTTTTTTTTTTTTTTTTTTTGGGTTGATTGTTCATTGTTGTTGAAACTTAGAATCTCACAATGATTCTTCATTGTTGTTAACTGTTTTGTTGATGCTTCATCTCTTTCCTCTCCTCTCCTCTCCTCTTCTTCTTTTTCTTCTTCTTCTTCTTCTTTTGGAAGTGTTATGGAAAGGAAGAAGAGGGAAAAAAAAGAAAAGAAAAAAAAAAAACCAAAATGACGTCGTTTTGGGATTTAGGGCCACTAGAGCCTCTAATTTTTCGAGCTACCTAGCGGGGTTGTTTTGAAACTAACAACACAAAATCACTTTTTCAAATGGCTACTTTTTACATTAAATGATCCCCACCTCCCTCCAATGGTTAGATTTGAATGGAGGGGTACAAAAGGAGTTCTTAACTCACTAGCAAACAAAAGATTGAGCATTAAATGGGAAAATTCATCTAATGATTCAAGTTTAAGTCCCAACTTTCAAAAACATTTGTCTTTGTACATCATTGATTCATCCACTCTTGAAGAGAGTTATTGTTGGATTTATTGTCTAACATTCTTGTAAAATGGTGGCTGTATCTTTTGTATTTATCATTGAGAGAGATAAATCTTACACGTATTTGAAATTTTTGAAACCTTTGTTTGGGGGGCCACATACGGGCCAGTCGAATTGCCCAGACTTATTTACTTATAAGTCCTATATCTCTAAAATATCCTTCCTTCACATCTTTCATTATCAACACTATTGTGATTCCCTCCTCCCTTGCCAACAACCACCTCTGGCCTTCGGCGATCACCTTGGGAGAAAAGAAAAGTCAAATGCTCAAATATAAACTTTTGAACAAAAGACCGTTGTTCAATATAAAAAGTTGAACAAAATGTATATATGTACAATTTATTTTTGTTCATAAGTTCATATCTAAACATTTGACTTTCTTTCGAAAGTTTATATCCAAACAAGATAAATTGTGTACTAAGATTTTCTCAAGTGCACGAATTTAATGTTGTATTTGGTTGGAGAATTTGAGAAGCGATTTGAAAAGGAAAAAGAAACAGATAGTAAAATATAAATAAAATATACCAATATTTTATATGATTTCATACACATTTTCCATTTTCCCTTCCAAATCCCCAAATCAAACACAACTTAATAGAATTTCCCATTGCCACATCATTCAAATCAAAATTCTGTATATATTTTTTAGATTGTATAGCACTATTAATTTCCTTTTGCTTATACATATACCTTTGAATCCAATCAGACTTTTTATGAAGACAGGCTAAAGTGATCCAAACACGTTAGTCAAAAATGTGAGCGGCATTTCATTCTGGACTCCAATTGAGCAAAAAATTCAATTGATCATAAATCAAGCTTAGGGATTCGAAGAGTCAAGTTTGGCATCTACTAAATAATACAAAAAATCAAAAAGTCACTATCCTATTTAAATCACATCTTCTTATTTAAATCACATCACCTCTTTAACACATCATATCAAACCCAAACCATATAAGTCAATAAATCAAAAATACACTTTTTTAAGAACATCCAAACCAACAGTAAAACTAATACAAAAAGCCAAATAAATAAATAAATTAAGAAAAGCAATAATGAGGCTTACTTCCGGCGGTATCGTCGGCCATGCAGAGAACGGTAAGGCCATCGGTGCGCTTGACGTGAAAGATGTAGCGATCTTGAGAATACGACAAATTCGAGTCGTTGTTCCCCGGAATCTTCTCCAAGATCTGCCTCGCGATCGTGCTTGCGTTCGTTGACGTTGCGCTGAACTCTGCCAACACCACCGATCCCCTTGCCACCAATGCATACAGAATCGCCATCTCTCCTCCCTCCTCTCTTCCTTCTCTCTCTCTCTGTCTCTCAATATAGGAATGAAAGAGAATTATATAGGTGAAATTCCAAGTTTTTTGGTATCCAGATGGAATTGAAACCTAGGGTACTGTCTGAAATTTTGAGAGAGGAAGAAGAGGAAGAAGAGGAAGGACGCGGGGAGGAGAGGAGAGGAGAGAGAGAGAGGCGGTGGCGGAGCAGCCGTGGTGACAGGGGAGGACCCTGGCCTTTTCGAACTTGTTTGGGGAATTTCACGCTGGAAAGATAAAAAGAAATGCTTGTGATTTGACACGTACGTCGTGTTTGGTTTGGTCAAGAATTTGAAGAGGAATTTAGGACTTGTTTAGGATGATTTAAATAAGTATATTTTTTGATTTTTTTATAAAATATGAGTTGAGTTTGAGTTAGGTTTGAAGTGATATGTTAGAGAGATGATGTGACTTAGGTCAAGTTTGGAAAGTTCTAAATAATTCATCTTTTTATCTTTTTTTAATCTCATTATCTCTCTACTTTTCTGCACATCTTTTCGTAAAAAGATAAAACTGCATTTATTTAGGTCATTCCAAACAACCCTTTAAATGAGATGATATGACTTAAATAAGATAGTGACTTTTTGACTTTTTTCAAACATGTCAAACCAATCCTTAGAAAGGAAAATGAAAAATATGTGTGAAAATAAGTGAAATATAGGTATACTTTATTCATATTTCATCTATATTTCTTATTTTTCTTTTTCAAATATCTTTTCAAATCCCTTAACCAAATACAACATTAGTCATTATTTGGTACGTGCTTAACATATTATTTTATTTAAGTCATAATTATTTTATTTGGATTATATTATTTTTTTATTAGATCATTCTAAATACAATTTGTATTTTATATATATTTTTTTTTTGTAAAAAAATCAAAAAATATATCAATTTAACACTTTTTAAACAATTTCTTAATATATAATAAATATATTTAAATAAATGAAAGAGAAAATATATATATATATACATATATATATATAGAATAATTTATCTTATCAAATTTGATATTGGCATAAGTTAAAAAATACAAAAAGTTAAAAAGTCACCATCCTATTTAAGTCACATCATCTTATTTAAATTACATCACCTCTCTAACATATCACATCAAACCCAACCTATATAAGTCAATAAGTCAAAAAGTGTACTTTTTTAGAACATCCCAAACCAACCCTTAGTTAAATAAATATATTTATTTAGGTTATATCATGTTTTTATTTATTTTTATCATCTTTTAGTAAAAAGTTAAAAAATATATTTATTTAGATCATCTTAAATAATCTTATATATATATATATATTATTTTATTTTATTAAAATAATTTTTTGTATTAATAAATGATATTTTTTATAAGAGTAGTTTTGATATTATAAATAAATTTTATTAAATTTAATTTTTATTTTCTTACCAAATCTCATATTTTTTTTTGTGAGAAATGAAATGTAAATTTGATAAAAATCATTTCTCATTATTTTTCATCTTAACTATCTAAACAAGTGAAGAATTTCTAATCCTTGCCATTTATTTTCTTTTTTTCCTAAACTCTTCCATCCAAACATAATATTAATTTATATATTTAACAGAAGGGAGAGGGAAGGTGAAGTGGAGAGAATAAAATAACCTGGTGTTTCACATGGTGTGGTGGTGATCCTCCACTCTTATCTCTCTTTTTCATTTAAGAAGTCCACTTCCTTACTTGATTAGATAGCATGAGTGGTTTGAGATTTGCTTATGGAGAAATTATTGGCTGGTCGGGGATAATGTCATGGAGTATTTTATGTGCATTCTGACTAGTGAAGGAAGTTAAGTTTATGATTTTGTATTATGTGTTGGGGCATGTTGGTTTGTGATCGGTCAAAAGGCATAGTCAAGTGGTGCCTTGGGCAAATAATAATTTTTCTTGCTTATTTAGTGATTTTTTGACATTTTATAAATAAAAAAAAAGTGCAAAAAAATAGGAATGTCATGTGTCGCAAATAACTATATAAGCACAACTTTCTTAATTGATCAACAATGATATGGCATGATAGGTGTTAACTTATGATTTGTCACACATTCAATATATAGGGCTCAACTCCCTTAACACATCATTGTGGATGTATTTGTGAGTTTAAAATTGTGTATGTCATCAAAATAAACATAATACTTAATACAAAAACTAAGGAATAATCATTCATACTTGATCAAATACTTTTCCAAAATAAAGCAAAGCTTTTATCAATACATCATAACATAATTTTATTAAAAATACCACTCACAATAGCTCTTTGATCAAGGAAATTAAGGTAAGGATTCAAGACCTACAAGCACATAGTAATTCCATTGAATGCACTTTAAGAAGATAAGAAGAGATGCTTAAAGATAGTTATGCAATGCATTCTCAAAACAAGCTTCAAATGAGTGAAATAGATCCCGACATTTCTTTATAAAACCAAGTCAAGACAAAGCAAAACATGTGCTGGGAGTTAAATCAATGTTTTTCTTCTTGGAAAAGTCTAGGAAAAAACCAGGTCTCAGAATTGATGCACAGAGATGAGCTGAGCCGAAATGGCCTAGCTGGGTGAACTCAAGAGGTCTTGGCTGAGGTGTGGTCTCCTTGGCTGAGATGTGGGCTGCCCGTCTGGGATGTTACAAGGTGTCGACAAAGGTGTACAGTGGTCGGGCTAGGTATGCATGCAAGGTATACTAAAGTGCAAGTGATCATGCAAGGTAGGCCAAGGTGAGATGCAATGCTTGGCCTAGGTTTGGAAGCTGGACAAGAGTGGTTCTTGGTGACCACACTTAGGGAAGTGAAGTCTAGAAATCTAGGCTTCCTCTTGAAGAACATGAAGAACGTGAAAAACATGAACATGAAGAACAAGAATGCTAAAATCATAATTTCTTATTCAAAATCTGAGATTTCATAATATGAGTTCGAAAACATGGACATGGGTACCTATACTTGAAGATTTCATGAGAACAAACACAAAAACATAGAACTTGGTATAAACTTTTGTATCAAACATGGTTTTTTTTTCCCCCCTTCAAGAACACAAGAGCATCACTTTCTCTCTCTAAAACAAAACTTTAAATCAATGCATGACTCATAAATCATGCTAGATCATGCAATGTGATTAGATTAATATAAAGAACAACAAAAGTAGATCGAGAATTTAACCTCAAAATACAAATCAAATGGTTCATGGTCTTCAAATCAAGCTTGGAAATCTAGTTCTCTCACTCTTAGAACTTATTTTTCTTCTTCTTCTTCTTCATATAGCTTCTCTCTCTTCAAGACAAATATATAGCAAATGATTTGGGTTTCCCAACTGTTAATTGACTTAAACCCACGACTAGGACACATGCAATCATCTAGTCAAGTCAGCTAAAAAAGGTACCAGAATGAAAAAGACAAGAGTAGGTCAAAGCGTGTATAACAAGTAAGGTAGCATGGACACTCTAACAATGAATGGATCCTGGATCAAAATATGGGCTTCGGACAAGTGAAAAATAAGTGAGGTCTTCTTGAACCCGGCTAGAAGGGGTAACACTTGGCCTATGTGTGACACACCTCGGCCTAGGTTGTACAAGTCAAGGAACAAGATTGCTAGGTATTAGCTAAGGTGTATAACAAAGCTGTAAGGTTCAAGGATCAAAGATTTCAGATGCCTAGGTGATGTACATCTCAGATGCTCATCTCGGTCTAGATGATGCACACCTCAACCAAGGTGCAAGGGTGAAGGTAAAGGTCAATCAAGATGATTCCAAGATGATCCTAGGTGTTGATGCTCAACGGCCCAGGTGTAAGAGGTTCAAAGGTGTGACATAGGTGTGAGGTAGCAAAGATGTGTGGCCTAGGTTTAGCACACAAAGCAAGGAACAAAGCATGAATCTTATACTTGGACAAAACACACTGTAGACACCCTATTTTTGACCGACCTTAAGACTCAGACGTCATCGATTGAGTGCTCGGTAATGGTCCATGTTGTGCTTGTTTAGAGGTTTCGGAGTTTTGGCTGAGAGCCTTGCCTCCGGGCCTCTGAACTCTTTTGTGCTTCGGCTTGGTTTGTGGACCGAACTTTGTTTCTCTTCCCCGGAGGAAGGGAGTGGTCTTGTAGACCATCTCTTTGTGGTCGTAGACTACTTTTCGTGGTCGTAGGCCACTTTTCCCATTTGGAGACTAGTTTCTGATTTTTGGAGCCTTTGGCCGTGCACCTTGTCTCGGGACCGCTTAATATTTTCCGTTTGGCGTGATTTTTGAACCACACCTTGTTGCCTCTGCCTAGAGGAACACTGTGGTCCGGGAGACCACTTTTGTGGTTGCATACCACTTTTGATGCTCGTCAGCTAGTTTTCGGGGCTTTTGGCCACATGTTTCGCCTCCCGATTTCTCGTCTTGCATCCACTTTGGTTTGTTTTTGTAAAAACCTTGTTTTCCTTGTTTGGAAGGTGGTACAAGGATGGGAGACCAATATTTCTCCTTGGAGACCACTTTTCCTTTTTCCAGCTAGTTTTCTTGTCAGATAACTGGCTTTCTTGGTCTTTGGACCATCTTTTCTGGTCGGTCACCGCACCACTACCTTGCATTTAGTGTGTTGACCTCTCTCACCTATGGTCGACCAGTTTTTGCTCTAGTTGACCACCCAAAGTGGTCGGCTGACCACTTAAACTAGCAGGCTGACCACTTCAAGTGGTCGGCTGCTTTTTGGCACCTTTTTGGAGATATTTTCCTCTAGCTGACACAGTTGGAGGACATTAGGGCCATCCTCCATACACGTGTATGGAGGGATTGCTTTGGTGCTTAGCTTCTCCTAGAAGCTTTGCCTTTCCTCTTCTATAAGAGGGAAGCTCCTCTTCCTTCCTCTAGGTTCAGAAAATCTGAGGGAAGAGGATAGATATAGTGTTGTATCTATATTGCCTTGTTTGCTTCATTTTTGTGCCTTCAAGTGTAGATTTGTCGTACTTTAACACACAAACACATACTCAAACACCATCCTTTTGCTACTGAGGTGCTTAGGGGCTGATTTTGGTGTTCTTGGGTTGCCTTGAGCTTGAAAAACCTGCTGGAGTTGCAGTTATAAAGAAGGTCTTCAAGGGTGAGCTTTTAAATCCCCCTTTCTTGCTTAAGCTTTTAGCCTATCTTGCATGCTGTTTTAAGCTTAACTTATAACTGATAAAAGTTCTGTTTTTGCATGCTTTTGATCTTTGTTTAAGACCACTTTTGTGTTTGGGGTT